TCAGAGGGCGGAACATACAATATAATTCTATATAAAGTTTTGAATTCTGGTTGGCTAAGGGACTTGACGCATGCTCAAATCTGCTGTTTTATAGTCGAACTCCCGCTATTTTAAATTGGCGGAGGTTGTAATTATTCGACCTTTTAATACGAGTACAGCGATTAGTGATTATCAAATTACGTGTCATTGTCGGTATTAATTTTCCATTGTGTTTACTCTCAAATTGCTATTTTGTATTTGTGTATGACACAATGGCTTCAAGTGCGACTGCAATTTGCTCAACTGATGTTGATTTAGTAAATAGCTTATTAGCTAAACCGTTCTCTGCTCGATCGTCGGTCGAACAGAATGTTATCGTTCATGAACGGCCTACTCCTGATTTAACTATCCAAAATAAGGGAAGAGCATTTCAGAGATTGGTATGAGGCGAAGGACTGGCTGTGTGGCAGTACAACCTTGCAGAAAGTGTTTTGTTGGCCATGTCTAATGTTTTCCCCAAAACATCGCCATCGTGGACTAAGAATGGCTACAACGATATGCGGAGTATTATGTCTGATGCTAAGAAGCATGAAAAATCTAAATCGCATTTGACTGCATTTAAGACATGGAAAACGTATGGAGCTAGTGAACGAATTGATTGTCTTATGTCCCTCGCTAGAAGAAATGAGATTCAGCGTCACAATGAGGAGGTAAGACAAAATCGAGAAATTTTAAAACTGTTACTGAGGCCGTGCTGTATTTGTCAAAGCAAGAGTTGCCATTTAGAGGTCACAATGAGTCCGAAGGTAGCTTGAACAAAGGTAATTATAGAGAGTTGCTCGAATGTTTTGCTAAGTTTGATTCTGTATTTGAGCGTCGACTGCACAGTAGACTAGCAGAATCTGATATAGTTGGTGACAGAAGATTTACTGGAGTCTCCCAGAAATTCAAAATGGTCTTATCAGCTGTCTTGATTCAATTATTGAAGATGAAATCAGAAAGGAAATAAATGATTGCACATTTATGAGTATTCAGGTTGATGAAGCATCTGATGTCTCCACCAAAGAGCAGCTAAGTGTTATTGCTCGGTTTGACAAAGCAAGTGAAATTATGGAGAGGCAATTAGGATTTGTGGATGTAAGTATGAACAGAAATGCCACAGCAATATCACAAGTTGTCAAAGATAAACTTGGTGAGTATTCTAATATAAAAGAAAAACTGGTTTTACAAACATATGATGGTGCTTCTGTCATGTCTGGCCATATCAATGGTGTTCAAGCATTGGTTCGACAAGAGTATCCTTTTGCTCATTTTGTTCATTGTGCAGCTCATAGATTGAACCTGGTCCTATGCCAGTCAGCCTCATCAATTTCTCCTGTTAAAATCTTTTTATTAATATAGCTACATTCAGCACATTTACAAGCAATGCCCCAAAAGAAAAGCTTTTCTCACATCTAACAACCTTGAGTTTCCTGCCCTGGTGAAACAAGATGGTATTATCGCTCTAGATTAATCAATGTATTGCACAAAACTATGAAAAACTTTTAGATATTTTTGAGGGGTACTTGAACAACCAGCTGGGTGGGATGATGAGTCATTAAGTAAAATAAGTGGCTTACTGCATTATCTTGATAGCTTTCTCTTTTGTTTTCTAGTGTGTGTTTTTTACAGGATTTTAGAACAGTCCACAATTTTGTATTCCATTCTTCAAAATAGGAAACCCATTTTAACTATGGCATAAGCAAGATTGACAATTTCAAGCAGTTTATTGTGTCACTTCGCACAGATCAAGCTTTCACCGAGTTTTACCAAACTGCACTAGAAAAGTAGGCCCACCAGCAACCAGAGCAGATAGTAGATACAATTACAAACAGCTTTATTTTGAGATTATTGATTCCATTAAAGGCATGTTAAGTGAACGATTTCAAGATATTAATCAGTTCGAGTTTTAGAGACCTTGTAAATCCTAAACTATTTACTACATGGAAGGGCATAGTTCCACAGGAGAAGATCAATCTTCTCAAAGATAAGTATAGTCCTCTTTTGACATCCAAACTTTGGAGAGTCAACTTTCCTTCATTTACAACGACAAGGACTTTCACAAAGAGTGCAGTAATGAGGTTCTTAAATACATCTTCAAATTTAATCTCCAGTCGAGTTTAGGTCAAGTGGTAAATTTGTTAAAATTGAATGGTGTGTTGGCAGTGGCAAGTGCTTCAGTAGAGAGGTCGTTTTCTTGCTTAAAAGGGTAAAAGCTATTTAAGAAATAGAATGGGTCAAGGTCGGCTTAGCTCTTTGTGTAGAATATCTATTCACAAAGATATCATTGAAAAGAAAGAGGAATCAGAGGTGTTGCATAACGAGGTGGTTGAAAATTTGTAGAAAAACCAGGAGGCTGGCCTTTCTTTATAAATGATGAGTATAGTATGTTTTGATATTTGTTCGTATAATACATGGTACTTCATTGAGAAAATTAAGCATAACTTAAAGAATAAAGCCATCCCTGTCTACTTGCCCCAATCTAAACAAGTTTAAACTAACAAGTAGAATGCTAAGAAAAATCTCTCTCTATGCACTTTAGAAGTGTCGTATACTATATTATTTTTTGTGCTAATACAAATTTCTTCTGTTTATGCAGGGGCAGTGATGAGTAAATTATGTTTTAGGGAACAATTGTCTCCTGCGTAACGTTTCTCTGAGCCACCTTTAGTACCTTTTAACTAGTTGCAGTTTCAACGATTGCCACATTAAGAATGCAGCTAACAAAATGGGTTTTTATAACTTATTGTACAACAAATAATTCGCCCTCGAAATCGCAGGAAATGCTGTTTCCAAGGCTCTGGATTTCAAAATTTTCCGGGGGAGCCCCCTAGTGGGGTCGCGCCTCCGGCGTGAGATGGATTGGCGGGAGTGACTATTTTTCCTAGCTACGCCACTGCTGTACGTATAGTCCTGAGACGGACTATTTTTGTTGTTGTTGACTGACGTTTCGACAACCTTAGCGTAGTCATCTTCAGAGTCAAAATGAATGTATAATCTTGTGTCATTGAACTAATGACTTACGAGCGATTAACAAGCTTGAAATCATCAGCCAATTTACAATACAGGATTGAAGAGAAAACCGCTTAGATAGTTTAGCACAGACTTCTTATAGCAGTGCTTTTTAATGAACAAATTTTACAGCTACTTTATTTAATATTAATGTGTAATCAGTCCTATACAACAAATCAATTTCATGGCCATAATCACTGTATGTATAATGTATGTAAATAAGATCATCAGCAAATACGATAAAGGTAAGTTATTTTTTCAGGCTTATTACATTGCCTTCTCATATTCCCCTTTTTATGATAATGCAACAGTTTTTAAATACAGTATTATCTTTTTTTTGTAGATTTCTACATCTGGGTTATTAATTGAAGAATCAAGAACAGACTTTCAAAATACTACGATTTACGCTTTCAATAATGGAAATGCTATGAATAATGACTGCAACGACTGTACCATTCAATGCGTATGATGTCAAACACATTAAAGGTAGAGACAACCTCATCGCTGATTGTCTCTCGACCTTAGAACATTATTATCTTAAAGAAAGCTTTTCTTTTTTTTAAAGGGTGTTACATGATAATACATAATCATGTAAATGATACTTATTATTGGTATATACGTAAATATTATTAGTTAACTAATTAGTAAAATGCCTTACTCATACATGCATGTGTATGTTAACCACAATAACAGGAAAGCTTACGTATAGGACGTGGTCAACCTACTGACCACAAACAACTTACAGGATACATGGTTAATCAACTGACCACAGTTTACGCAAAGCTGTTAATCGTACGTCATTGTGCAATCATATATAAGCCGAAAATCGAGTTGTAGTTGCTTAGTATAAGTCCACATCAGAAGAAAGCTCATATAAAAGACGAACTATTTAAGAAAAGAATCAAATACAGATATATATCCTATCCATCAACGAAAGAGTCACTGAAAGTCTGAAAGCAGTTGTCTAGATAAGTTTGAACATTTAAACATTTATGTTATAAAGATTATATCAAAATTATTAGTATATTAAATAAATATTTTAAGAATTGACAACAACTTCTCCACAAGGTTTTACTCCTTTTGTTACGAGCAATTGAACCAAAAGCGGCCATTTTATTATTAGTCGGGACGTTCGTAACAGAGTAAGTATCAAAAAGAAATGATCAGCCCTAACAGTACTCATGATTTGGAGCAGAGCTTGTTATGTTCTATTTGCTGACAACGTGCAGGGAAGAACAAGGAGTAAAGATGACTGGAAGATGTTATTGACCAGGCAGAGTATTAAAAAAATTATAATGCTGTAAAGATAATTGATTTATTGACTGCCCTATCCAGAGTTGTTTAATTTGATCATGGTCAAATTCTATGGATGGAGACAATGGATTCACTAATGATGCATTGTATGCTTTGAAGTTAAAGTTCATGAACCAAGAAAGATGGCAAGAAGGTTGTGTGTGTTTTGATGCTTAATGAAATGTCAATTCACAAACATATAAAATGGGAAGGCCATAAAGTTTGTGTCTATGTAAACATTTGTACTGAGATTGATGATGACTCGATGCAGATTTGAAGCATCAAACTGTATAAGCCATTGGGTTTTATATAACTTAATGTTTAAATTATATCATATCTTTATCAAAATGTTTTAGTGTTGTTTGAATGTTACTAATATCTAGTGCACTATACTGAAGAATTGAAGATTCAGTGATGAAACCTTTAAAGTTTCTGTACTGTATACTTCTTCATTATTACAGTTTTTGCTTTAAGAAACAGTTTTGGCTTATTTACCTATGGAGTACAGAATGGAGATTTATCATATGCATTATTGCTGCTTTTTAAAGAAATGTTTTTCACTTTTCAAAGCTTTTCTACATTTCTTTTCACAGATTGATGATATAAAGGTAATATAATCCAATAATTTCTAATTTCTAAAAAGCTTTTAAGCTTCTAGCATAAAAGTACACTATAGGTATGTAATTCATTTGGTTTTATTGCCTTGCTATGACATATCTACTTGCACTTTAATATTCGCATAATTTAAACATCACACGAATGTTTATCACTTACAAATCATTTTCATGTACGGCCCAAACATATCTTCTTCATAGGTCATTTCAGTGTCAGTTTCATTACTGCGATCAAATGAAGCCATATCATAGTTGCTGCTTGTCCAAATAATTTCAAGTGACGTAAATTTATCAAACAAACGATTTTTATTGTCTCTCAATGAAATACGAAGTTTCAAATCTTGACGACTTCGTACGTGGAACTAAATATAACAAACATGGTAACTGTAGATACATGAATAATGAATTCAATAATAGAACATGCAGTAAATAGATAATGCTGCGGTATAGTCAATACATTGCAAACATATTTGTATTTTATTAAATCTATATTTGACACATCCTTAACATGACAATTTTCGTTCTCCTCATTTATGTATACAGAAAAAAATTTTTTCATTAAAAGTTACAAAACATTTATGTTTCTCTAGAGATACCAAACAAATGAACAATTGCTAATTATACGTAACAAATTCCTCCTTATTAGGACTCTGACAATCCTGTAAACTGAACGTACGATCCGTGATCTCGGGTAGTTGGACATCTGGTTCAGAGTTGAGGGTGGCAGGTATCATGCAGGCAAATCTCAAAGTGATAATAGAGCTCGCTGGATAGTTATTAGTTTCTGATGGATTATTGCCAATTGTAACCACAATATTTTGTTCCCCGAACTCCTTACAAGTCACGTGATAATAATGTAGAGAGCTTTGTTCACCAAACGGATGTTGTGGTATCACATCAGTTCTTATTGAGATCAGAGCTAACTTCTCAGAGTTCAATGAAGTACAAAATATATTATTAGTTACTAAAGTAATACAATGGATGTGATTAACTTTCTCATGTGTAGATCTGACATGAAACCATAAATGACGTGGTTACGTACCTTTCTCATAATGTGTTGATCTACCATGAACCCATGGTTGAGGTCCACCTTGTATGATAAAGTTCTTTGCTGAACCAAGGGTGACAACAGCAACGTCAACAGGATCGAGAGCCTAAAGATAATACATTTATAACGTGACAATAATGGTGTGAGATTTCTCATTGAGGGGATTGAAATTTGACAGTAAAACGAAACAGTAAATAAAATGTTAGAGAAAAGTAGATGAATTTTCCTTACTTTAAGTGGTAAATACGCAGCTACTGTAACAGTTGCTTTAATATTAATATTTTATATTGATATACAGCTGTGACAATGACATATCCTTGACGCAAAGCTTTGAGGCACGCTGATGTACAACCAGGAGTTATCATCAAACTCATCAAAAATAAACATTTAAACATTAAAATCCTGGCCAGAGATTTGCCAGGCGGAAAGCAAATTTTCAATATGAACATAATAGCCCAACATAAGACTTTTAAAAAAGCCATCACAATAATAAATAAAAGGTTTTTTTATTAATAACGTTTCGTCTTTAATTTAAGATAACTTCAGATTATATGAGATAAATTATATACATAAGGTTTTAAATACGAGCATATATTACAGGGTGTTAAATTACATTAGGAAGGAGGAAGAGAGAATTGAGAAGTCATTAAAATCGGCAGAATGAGATGTATTTCTTATATGGAAAGAACTGCAGATGGTTGTGGACATAAGGAAGGTTTCTCTGTTAAGGGAGAGATTCCCAAGTGTTCCGATATTCTGGTGTGTAAATGACGCCAGTGAAAGTGTAGACAGAAGTAAGATAATGCTCCTAAGAAAATCATGTACTTCTGTCTCCGATTCACTGACCTACAATGTCTTCAGATTCGCACTCAAATCACTCGACTCTGCAATGCTGCCTTTCCTCATATCAACGTTCGCTTTGTTTTCGTTCTTCCAGGCGTCTCTCCTCTTTCTTTCCTTTTAAAGATAGGGTTCCCAAGCTCCTGAGATCTGGTATTGTATACTCATTTAGGTGTCGATGCTGCTCTGCATCGTATGTGGGTCAAACCACGCGCCACTTACACACAAGAAATCGGAACACTTGGGAATCCCTACCTTAACAGAGAAACCTTCCTTATGTCCACCACCATCTGCAGTTCTTTCCAAATAAGAAATACATCTCACTCTACTAATTTTAATGACTTCTCAATTCTCTCTTCCTCCTCCGACAATTATGACCTTATGATTCATGAAAGCCTTCATATATCCAAACTTAAACCCTCTCTTAACACTTAACAAGGCAACTCAATCCCCCTTCACCTTCTTTAATATACCGCCATTCTCCCTTAATTCCGTCATCTAAACTTCCTACTCCACTCACATGTAATTTAACACCCTGTAATATATGCTTGTATTTAAAACCTTACGTATATAATTTATCTCATATAATCTGAAGATGTCTTAAGTTAAAGACGAAACGTTATTAATGAAAAAACCTTATATTTTATTATTGTGATTGCTTTTTTTTAAAAGTCTTATGTTGGGCTATTATGTTCATATTGAAAATTGAAACATTAGTAATATTGAGACGATCGTTAAAAAGCGTTACGGTACACTGATGTATCTCCAGGAGTTAGAAAATCATCTACTTTATCTTAAATAAACGTAAAGTCATTCAAAATGTACGACTCGAAAATTGTGCTATTATTATATTTTCATTGAACATAACTTTATTCACATCACGTTTCACTCTCAAGATACTGTAGTTTGTGTAATGGACGCTTTACAAAACGTGTTTTCGTCACATTGCATAATGAAAATTTGACAGAGCAGGTATACTTGCTGTTAACCGAACAGAAGCTTCTTTTATTGTGAGGAGTTAATGATATAAAAATTTCCTCATAATTTTGACAAAAAGTTGCCTTGAAACTAAAGGATGTTTGAAACCTTGTATCAACTCATTGTGCAAAATGACGTGGAAAGTTGTGTAAATCGGTTATTACAAAAACTTTAATATCGCAATATCTACGATATGCATAAACAGTTCTACAAAACACACTGCCATTTTTAAAGTTCTGTTGAACGAAAATATAATTAGAATAGTAAATTTTTGGAGTCATATGCCCTTTAAAAATAACATTAGTATCATCAGTCGCCACGTAAACAACAAACCTGATGTTCCAAGTACTTGAAATATTGAAGGATCATTAACAGATATCGTAAGCTTCATTTTGCGACAATCATCAAAAAACAATAAATCGTCGTTTTCTAAAAAAATTATTCATAAGTTAAATAACTTCAATTAATAATCACGCCTAAACTTTTGTACGTAAAGTTTCAATTTTTAGAAGTATTTAAAAAAGGATAAATTATATCTAACTTTAAACATGTATTATCGAAAGAAAGGATGAACTACGTATAACTGATTCTAAACATTAAATGTTTGTTAAACAATATACGTATCTACAACAAACCTGGTAAAGAAAATGCAGCAGCAGACACAGGAATCTTTAACTTTGTACCAATTTCAACTTCAACTCTTGAGGGGACAAACTTTAAGTTGTCCGGAGGCAATATATAAACCTAAAATACAACAAGTGAATTAAAAAACAACCATTTAAAGTTTTCTTCTTCAAGTTACGCATACACACCTTTGATTGAACATAATGCAATAAATTCTCAGTGTCATGAGCCTTCACAATAGTGAATCCAGTGTCAGCAGTCGTAGTGAGAAGACCTCGAATGTTGACACTTGCAATGGTCGTAGCATCAGAAGGCCACGAGTATTGTCCACTCCCCTGTGGCCTAAAAGGTAATGCACAATGTTACATGAAGTATTTATATTGTATACACGTGATCTACGTAAAATAACTGGTTAAACTTTTGGCAAGCGAAAACAGCAGCAATTTCTTTATGTCAAATCCTCTTCCCTCCATCCCAACATGCAGTAAATTAGGTTCATGTACATACTTCAAGTTGGTATTTGTAATGATCCCTACCATTTAGTATCCATGGAAACGCCAAAACAGCAGGTGTCACGGTGACAGGATTATAAATAATAACATCTTGTTTACCACGTACGGGAGTATCGAGGACCGCATTTTCTCCAGTGATAATTGACTATAAAATGGAGTAAGTGAACTTTACATAACTTGACAATAATATTGATATGAAAATCATTATTGAGAAGCTGGCATCAACTTCTCCACAATAATGAAACAAACTGTGATATCCTTCACTTTATTAGTATAACGACCTACCGTACAAGGCATTTACGTATGATTTACGTATGAGCGTTTAAATCTGATCAGTGAGAAAATAAACTTTGTAATCCATACAAATATCCATTACATAGTAGTACATATGTATGGTAGTCAACTACACAACACAAAACATTCAAATTGTTACCGTAATCTTAGACAGTACAGCACGCAGCACTATTTTCCCACTGGTCAACGTCTTCGTCTCATGATACGATCCATTATCAGATGAATAAGAAACATCGAAATGCGATTTTGGAAATTAAGTTGTGATTTGAATGTTACCACCAACATAAAGTTTATGATTAAGTTTGTCAAAGACGTTCACTGTGACAAAATATTCACGTTTACTTTCTAAGATCCAAACATCGCCAGAAGTGATAGAAAATCCTAAAAAATCATAGAGACGGAATCATCTCAATGTTAACATTACATGAAAACTTTCTTGATTTTTCTTGAGTTTATGTGATAAATATTTACGTGATGAAGCAACAGTAACAACAGCTTAAGCAACGCACGAAAATTGAAGATTTCTTTCATAAGACTATTGATGTGGTTTTCAAATACTTAGCAAATGTTCAAGTTAATACGAGAGAGTTGTGAGATTTCTATAAACGTTAAGCTGAAAATATCAATGATATTTTACAAAACAAAACTTAAACATGTAAAACTCGTGTAAAATGTCACAGGTAAATGTGCTTTAACTCTTTCATTCAATGAAATCAATAACAATTTTTCAAAACTTTTCGAACGCAATTTCTTCGACCAAGTTTTGAAATTTTAACGTCGTTTCGTGTTTGAAAACAAAATTTGGCGCCAAAAGTTTTGCCTTGCAAACGTCACAACTTGCGCTCAGTGACGTCTCACGAACACGCTTCAATAATGAATCAAACACGTGCAAATCACGACGTCCATAATCATTTTAAACAGTTATGAATTCAAGAATTACCTAGATGAGGTTCATCAACATAAATATAAGCTGTTGGTTGTCTTGTAGATATTTGATCTTTCATGTCTCATCATAACGTTAAAGATTAAACCAAAGTATCCATAAAAGTACCTACGTAATGTACTACAAGTATCTACTGACGTACCATAAGTACATGCTGTCTATTGTATTGTACAGTGAAACAGAAATACGTACATACACAATGATTTTAAGAGAAGCTAATAAAGAACATGCATATATAAATGTTAGCCAGCCTCCCTCCCTCGCGCGACAATTGTCAACCCACCCAGTCCATGGTGTGCACAAAGAATACTTTTATCAACAAGGGTGACTTGTACATACCAAAGAACAAAACCTACCCCTCAGTCCAGAAGTACACACAAAAGATACTTTTATCAACGAGGGTAACTTGTGTATAACCAAGAACACGACCAATAAAATTAGATGATGTTTCATGAAGAACTGCAACAGTTGTATTGCTTAGAACAAACTCAAATTGTGTTGACGGCATTTCGACATCTAATGATAAAATGATGTTTTACAATTTTAATTGTACAAATACTTTTCTTAAATCATTGGTATTATTAAAGTAAACGACAGCACGGGAATAAGAAATGTAATTATGTTTACCTATCATAGAGTTTTGTCGAAATCTTTTGACTGTGTATTTGACAGCAGTATTTATCATAATGTAGACATCCCTCGATGGAATTATTAAGTTATCAATCACCAATAACTTTACTTCGTCAGATTGAACATCCTAAAAGACAACATGAACGTAAAAATACAAGAAACATCATTAAATAATCTTAGAGTTTTCCTTCCAGCAATAAATTCCATTTGCGATATTACATTTTAGTGTGATAAATGGAAAAGTTTCTAATTTTGTCAAATCGTTCTGTTTTATGGTAAAGATTAAATTGAGCGTCGACATTTTCAATGACTTTGCCCCAAGCCTGGAGCAGCTAATCTTTGTGACGTCACGCACAGGATTCGTTAATACGAGAAATAAGTATATGCCAACTACCTTGGATGACGTCAGAATTAGGCTAGACCCACACCTCGCACACCGACGGACAAGGTTCATTAAAAGGCAACTTAAAAAAAGCGTTATAATAAGCCGACGATTTGACCGACGAATTAAAAATTTTTATTCAAGAACAATAATAAAAATTTTGTTAGTTGGGGCACTTTAATACGTAATAAAACCATGTTTATGAAAAGACGATGTTGAGTTGAAATGTTTTATTTATAATTAAACTGCATCATTTTGATTCCACCCAAACATTGCAACAGTTATTGCAGCTTTTCTCCTATTTTTTCGGAAACAAGGAAACGTTTCTTCGAAGTTTTCTAATTTACTCACGCTCTCAGATTGATATTTTTGCTTTATTTTTCATAACAAAGGAAATACGCTTATAAGCTACGTACGAACATTGTTATAATTTTCATCTCCAAAAAAACAAAACTCACGTGATTAGTCTTTTCACAAAAATAACATAAAGTTTCTAACACTTATTTGCAAATTGCAGAGAAGTCGCACTGACAGTACGGATCCAAAGATAAGACAATGTAAAAAAAAAAACACAGTCTTTTGACTCCAATTTAATTTTGATTCACGTACGTATTATGAGAAGAACATCCATTGACTTCAATTTACATTTTGAACAAAACATATCACAAGCTTATGGTGTAAATAACCACTTCTTGTCTTACAATCGACGGTTTGCAAGCTGAGCGATTTTCTCTTTAAAATCTGAAGTGTAATGTCCATGGTTATGTAGAAGCACGCCATGCACATATTGGACGTCAAGTTAAGTCTCTCAATGAAACGTTAACACGCGATGAACTAGTGCTTAAATGTCTCGATGTATCGCAAGTGTTCTTGTACGAGTATTTATCATAAAAGATACAAAGAAATCGAACGATACTGCACAGGTTCAAAGAACGTTTATCTTTTGACTTATAATAATTAGTCGATATAACTGATTTCAAGACTTAAAGTTTTAAAAGGATAACACCTAAAAGTCAATTCATTAAACTTATCAGCTGCACGCTCGCAATGCAAATCATAGAGAAAAACGTCACAGTTATCATGAAATAAATCAGTTCTTATATATAACGATCATTTTAAATCTAGCACAGAACGATTTTGTGACTGTGATCCTTTCATTTTTGTTTTAGAATTAAAATCACGTATCGTCAATATTTATTATACAACAACGTGAACACAATCAATGTACAAAATTTTGCTTCTTTTAAATCAAATTGCGCTATCCAGAGGGAGAAATATAGCTTGTAATTTAACTTTAATCCAACTTTGACTATTAATTTAAGTTGATCTGAAAGACTTTTCTCTTTCACAATTCAACACCCGATTTATTTTTATGGATGTTTTATGACTGACGTACGTACGTATCCGTCCATTTTATGGATGTTTTATGACTGACGTACGTACGTATCCGTCCATTTTAGGAAAATAAGAATTCATTAAACGCTCAAAATACGTAACAAACTATATAACATAGGAATTCTTGAATACGTGTGAATTGTTTGCACATTGGAAAACAACACTGTCTGGCTCGTTGTTAGATTTGTGAATTGATCTACGACGTATGGACTATGTTTCATACGTGCATAAAGCTGTCCAAGAAAGACTTAAGTACTACGAAGTACGATCCTTTACATAACCCACAAAATTTACAATAAACGCAACAATTTACAAATTGCCTAAATCATTTTTAAATGGGACAACTTAAACTGTCTAGTGTAAGTTGTGAATACATTAACGATAATTTATATATTTAGCAAACCTGGAAGGTTGGATGACTTAATTTTGCTCTGACCAGCGCTGTTCCTGTTGTTATGCCTTCAACAATGATACTGCTGCCCCCTTAAACCCTTAAAATAAACAATTTTCATGAGTTAAGTCCAACTTCAACAACAGCAATGTAGTAAACATAGAGTTTACCTCGGCTTCTAAAGCATAAATAGCAGCTGAGGTTTCATTAATTGATTCAGCAAATGGGACAATCCTAAATACAAAGTGATTAAAAATTTTTTAGCACTCATTATACTTATCTAACATGACAATACATTATTGATGCAGTTGTACTACGTACCTTAATATGCTGGAGGCATCCAAAGATCCAGGAATAGTAATAAGTTGCCAGTCAAAGACAAGGCCATCAATTGAAGAAAATAAATTATCTGTATCACCATAAGCGAAGACTTGAAGAACTTCTGGTGATTTTCCCAGTAAAAGTTCACGTGTTGTAGTTTGGATTTGAATACGATTTATTTTGTTGACCAATACATCAGCACAAATGACATTGAAAGTTACTGAAAGTAAAAAAAATCAGATAAAATCATGATCTTTGCTTAAATGTATTGAAGTGAAAGGGAGACACTCTTACAGCTGAAATTGCAGATATATCTTTTTAATACAAGATGTTTGTGCTTGTGTTACAATGAGAAATTACTCTTTCCTCATTAATACACAAACATTTAGACAATGACATATATCACATTACAAGATTACAATTGGCATTTGCATTTTCGATTTGCATTTGCATTTAAGGAGATTACACACACCAAATAAAATATTTAATATATAAGATCTCTTTTTAGCTGAAAATAGCTAATTTTAGTGTCAAGTAAACACATCTGTCTTATAGCAACCACTTATAGCAACCACTCTGTGCCCAAACAGTAAAGTTGACGTTACCTGAGCCTGCCGTAGAATAAGGAAGAAGGATGCTTAAAACATTCAAAGTATCAGGTTGTTTTCACAGAAAAATAAATCAAATAATGAAAGAAAACATTTTAACAAAAGAATCTTCCTAAACCCCGCCATTTTTGGAGTTTGGACGAACTGTATGTTTCGTATTTCTTACATAAAGTCCTTCCTACAATAAGAAGTAAAGTTACCCAAAAATGCAAATTATCTTTTTAGTAAGAAAATCAAACACAATAATTATAATCCACTATTTTCAAAAAGCTTATATCCACTCTGCATGTGAAATTGATACGCAATTTTTATGGACGGTTGAAGTAGGGCTGTATTAAGAGGAGGGCGTCCAGGCAGTTGCCAGGAGCCCAGCGATTTTGAGGGCCCCGCAAAGCGAATAATTTCAAAGGAAATGTTGTCTTTTTGTGGCAAGTGCAATACAAACTTCATATTACAGAGAAAATTTCGAACGCTTGCTTGTGCTTCCATTAGATGTTAGACATAATAAACTTGCAGGTTGTTATTGAGGTGTTAAATATTTGTCATTGATAGCATAAATTATAGTGGAATTTGCGTTAAATTGGCATTTTTGTTTTCACACATCAATGATTGCATTTAAAAGCTTGGGGGACTAAAATTCCAGCCATTCATGCATTAAATTTGTGACTTTTATTTCTATTTTTCATTTAAGACACGGAGGTGGTATTAAAAAATAATTTGAGAATAAATTTAACATATTGTACAAAATTCAAAAAAGTCTTTGTAAATAAACGTTTTTTTCTACGTTTTAAGACGTTGACCTTTATTATTGATACAGACCAGTGCTGACCAAGGCTAATTTTTTTAGAGGAAAGGGGGTCTTGACGAGGCTGAAGCCATGTAAACATAAGTCACGTATGAAATTATCATATAGACGTTCACAACGTTTACTGAATTGAATAAAAGATGAAAAATCATATAACTTACAAGTAATGATCACAATTATATTTGAAATAAGCTTACACACATTCCTACTGCACTATGTAAGTGTGACAAAACTCGGCAGATTAAAAGCAAAAGGTCTGCAAGAAAATCACTCAGTTTTTACAATAAATTCTAATTTATAAATGATTCTCAAAAAGTAACAATACTATTATAAAATTATGTATAGTTGTATACTAATTACTAAATACTCTTATTGTACAACTGGATTACTAGCATTCTTAAACAGCAGTGAACGTCTCCCAAACCAAGGCAACTAATAGTTAGATAATTCACCACTTAGGGGGTGTTTACATGAATCCGGAATGAGTTTCGATCCGGAATGAACTCATTCCACTTTAAAAGAAATCCTATTGCATATTTACATGAATCCGGAATGAGTCACAACTCGATCCGGATCGAGTTCATTCCTAGTTTCATTCCGGATCGAAATTTACTTTTTATCTCATGTAAACGCGAATTGAGTTTCATTCTGGAATGATATTGTGATTAATGACGAAGCACGCATGTGCCATGGGTATTGTCTTCTGGCAAATTGAAGCTCGTAAGTGAATAAAGAGGCTAAATGGGTTAAAATGAGTGCGAAGAAAAACAACAATTAGTTTCATGTAAACACGGATTGACATCACGTTTCGATCGGGATTGAAAGTCATTCCGGATTCATGTAAACACCCCCTTACAGACATTAGCAGCACTGATAAATTGTTTTGTCTTATTTTTCACTATCAATCGGTAAAACGTCGGATTATGATGTTTTACTTTAAAACATTTTAAAAGATTTCTTTCGTCACAGCATTAAATTTAAGCTCACATTATTTATGTGAAAATAATAATTTAAAATTTGGTTACCTGCAGCAAGTGGCTCTTATCAAAAAATACCCAGCATAAAGAAATTATGGGGCATGATCATGTGAAACATTAAGAGAAGAAAAGTTATCGATTTATCAAGAATGTAAATCAAATAATTTTGGTTGTACTTCGATCATAGTCAAGTTTTCGACAATTGTGTTCTTATGAATTATTCATTTTAGTAACCAGAAGGGCGCACAGCCGCCTGCGACGATTGTTTTTTCTAAACAGCCTTCAACACTATCAAAGTTCTTATTCATACACACATGTTTGACATTTTGAAGGCGTTCATGATCATTTTAAAACATTGTTTGGCTCTATCAAACTTTTATCAATAAACATGAATGACATGCCGAAGACGTGCATGACCATTCTAAAGCAGAGTTTAACGTCATAAAACTTTCGTCGATAGACATGGAAGACATGTTCAAGGCATAAAAGCTTAACTTTATCTGTGTCTCTCACTATCCTCCAATTTTATTGGACAGTCAACAAAACATTTACTTTTGAAAGATTTTTGAAAGTAATTATTCTATCACCTTTCCTACTGTGTAAAGAAAGACAATATGAAAAGAAACCTAATAAACTAATTTTTTAGTATTTTATTAACAGAAAACAGCAATTATAATCTATTCTAAAAGACACATTTTTAGAGACATGCTCTGTTATGAAAGATGTTCTACTTGAAACAAATTCTCCATCAATTATATCATGTTCATTGAAATGTCTATAAGAACCATTTTGTGTTGAAGTGAACTTTCGAAGAGACACAACGATGGAAAACGTAAATTGTCAGTTGACCAGCAAACGGCTTCACAACATTCAGAATTGCAATGATTAATCATGGACATTTTATGAATTACAAAATCCTCAAAGAGAGGTAAATTTGTTTGGATTTAATCTAACACAATAAACATCTAAAAGCTTTTATATTTTTTTATAGACACCTGTTAACATAAAGAAATTATGAAAAAATAATGGAAAAGCGATAATTGATTTGAAAGATGGACCTGGTTCTGATCCTTATAAATGTCAATGTCGTCATGGTTTCACTGGAAAATATTGCTCATTTGGTAAGTTTGTTCATTAGTACGATTATTAAATGTAGATGTAAATGTAGATGTAGATGTACATGTACATGTAGATGTAAATGTAAATGTAAATTATGTAGATGTAAATGATGATGTAAATGATGTAGATGTTAATTTAGATGTAAATGTAGATGTACATGTACATGTAGATGTAAATGTAGATGTAAATTTACATGTAGATGTAAATGTAGATGTAAATGTAGATGTACATATACATGTAGGTGTAAATGTAGATGTGCATGTACATGTAGATGTAGATGTACATGTAGATGCAGATGTAAACGTTAAACGCGAGATGGAAGTGGAAGCTGTTACAATGGAGACGAAAATCGACAAGGTTAGAAAAACATATGATTCTGAAATAAAGGAAATTCAGAAGCATCATAAGAAGGAAATTGGTAAGGTGAAAATGGATACTCAATAAATTTTAAGTCTACGTACGTATGACGTTGATCAAACTAAACAACGTCGATTACTGATCATTTGATTCCGCCAATTTTTTTGTTCACTTTTTTTTCATGAAAAAAATAAACAAATAATTATTTCTTCTAGATGCGCAAAGATTTTCAGGAAATAGTGAAGCTAAAAAACTCTTTGAAAGAGGAAAATGTTTGGTTTAAAAGCGAAAAAGAAGAGATGTAAACGTTAAACGCGAGATGGAAGTGGAAGCTGTTACAATGGAGACGAAAATCGACAAGGTTAGAAAAACATATGATTCTGAAATAAAGGAAATTCAGAAGCATCATAAGAAGGAAATTGGTAAGGTGAAAAACAAACAAACGAAACATCAAATGGATGATTGTGTCAAATGAGAAAAGGATAAAGAAGTAGAGTTGGAAGTTGCCCATAATAAGATTGAAGTAAGAGTAAGTTTTTTTTTGTAACTTTGTGTATATGTGACACGTTTTTACGGTAAATAATCTATCACGTGTTGTATTCAATCTATCACGTGATGTATTAATCCATCACGTGGTGTATTCAATCTATCATGTGGTGTACTCAAAGATCCATTAAACTTTATCTTATTCAAAGTTTTTTTTTATTGAAATTTTCTGATTCAAAATCGTTTCATTTCAGTCAATGAATCGTGAACTTACGACATTGGAGAACTTGAAAATTGAATACAATCAGAACAATATTGAACAGGTTCGGTTTGTTGCTTAATTTTTAACCCATTTTCCATCAAATTTTTACTTCTTTATCTTCTCTTTTATCTCATATCTTCCTAGGCCCGTTCATTACAGTATTTCATTTCACAATTAACAGAATTTCAGGAGTAATTTCAAACATTAGCGCAAGCTCAACATGAGACAAAATTACTTTGCAAGTAAAGTTCTATAAATTTACATATCCAAAAAAGTCACCCTGTTTTATATGGTGGTCTTCATCTAATCCATGTGGTAAACCGTATTATCCATGTAGTGAACCGTATTATCCATATAGTCAACCGTATTATCTATGTCGTGAACCATATTATGTATATAGTCAACCATGTTATCCATGCATTAAATTGAATTATCCTAATCATAAAACAATTTTCTACATCGTCAAGGCAAAAAGATGAGAGGATCAAATAAGAAAAATAGCGTCGAAGAGAAACTGAATTGATTTGTGAAGTGAGAATGTTGTTATTTATAATATTATCTATTTCAAGAAATACAACATTGATTGCATAGTTTTTTCTCTATTTTTAGTTTCTTATGAATTGTTGTTTTTCATCGATTTTGTTATTCGAATTTTTCGAAATTGAAATCTCGTGAAAAACATCTTAAAGTGAAACACGATGTGACAGAAGTGATGTGCCGATGTGATGTGCTTCATTGTAAATGAAGCACATCAGGTCAACTATATTCAAATTTTCTCAACAGAAAAAATCAAAAGAGACACGAAAACACGAAATTAAGTATTCCATAGCAATCTATGATAAACGCATCTGTGATGAGTGGTCATCTAAATGGTTTACAGGCAATTTTAAGACAGGTGTACCCCTATGCTTATTTTTTTCATTGTGCAGCACATAGGCTTAATTTGGTTTTATGTCAATCTGCTCTGAAAATTAAGGAGGTGAAAATATTTTTTCTAATGTTTCTGCATTTTCCACCTTTACAAATTCCAGTCCTGAAAGAAAATCCCATTTGAAATCTCATGGGGTTGATATACCTGCTCCAGGGGAAACTAGGTGGTATTTCAAACCTCGAGCTGTGTCTGCTATTTTTAATAATTATGATAAACTAGTGAAAGCATTTACAGAGATAAGTGAAAATCCTTGGAAATGGACTGATGAAACAAGTACACGTACTGATGGCCTCCTCCACTACCTTGAATCATTTCTTTTTTGTTTCCTTTTACTACTTTACTACCAAATCTTGGAGAGATCAGCCATTTTATATGATATTCTACAAAATAGGTCTACTGATTATGCATTTGGCATGAGAAAAATTGAAGAATTTGGTAATTTTCTAATTTCCCTCCGCAATGAAACAGCTTTTGAAATTTGTTATTCTGCAACTGAAAGTAAAACTGGTCCTCCATCTCGAAAATCTGAGATAAATATAAATTTTAAACAGCTCTATTACGAAGTCATTGATTGTGTAACAAATATGCTTAAGGAAAGATTCACGGATGCAGAGAGCTTTTCATTTCTTGACTTAGTCAATCCTAAACTTTTTGTGCAGTGGAAAACAGCTATTCCTAATGAAAAATTCAACAACTATCAGCAAAATATGGTCCTCTCTTTAATATACCTAGGCTTCGAAGTCAACTTTTTTTTGTGTACCAAGATAAAGATTTTTTAAAAGATAACTCCATGGAATTATTGAAATACATTTATCACATTGGTATTCTCCAGTGTATACCCGAATTTGTTAAATTATTGAAACTTAACGCTGTTATTGCCATTTCTAGTGCTTCAGCTGAAAGATCGTTTTCATGTTTAAATAGGGTGAAAACTTTTTTAAGGAATTCAATGGGGGATGAACGCCTTGGCTCATTATGCAGAATTTCAATTCATAAAGATATTTTAAAAGCAAAAGACGATCAAAGCAATTACATCCAGCCATCCTGGATAAGTTTATTAAAAAACCTCGCAGACTAAATTTTTCATACAAATGAGTCTGCATGGCTCATTTTTCACTCTCTAATGCCGCTTTAAGCAAACCAAAAACAAATCTTTGAAAATGTATGTTTTTGATAATTAGTTATTGCACTTGATACAACCATTTGTCTCCTCTGAAGCAGATCAGCAATAATCACTAAACCAAATAAACTGCGCTTAAAAAATGTGCTCTATAAAGGTTAAACTTTTCTGGAAAAATTGTGAAATGGTTTTAAAGGGTTGGAAAAAGACCGAGAATAGGATGAGAATTGAGCATTTTCATTCTTTAAAAATTGTCCCAGATGGTCTCCCATTTCTAACCAAATTCCTCTTTTCAACTGAGGTGTGAGGGCGAGAATCTGGCGCCTTAAAACCAGACTGCTCATTAAAAAGGCTCTAATGAGGGCTGTCTATGTCGGAATCACATTTTTATACTTCCAGAGTGGATGTGTTGTGTGTTTCCTAGGCATGCTGATGAGCCCTGACATAGGGCGAAACAGTCCAAGACTGAAGGATATTTGAAAAATAAATTTAAACGGTTGTACGAGGCGTGACGTTCCATGTTATAGCTTCGTAAATAAAACCAAAAAGCGTTTTCCGGGAGTTTAAGGCATTTAATTTTCAAAATTTTGACACTCGGCGCCAACCATGGTGGCGCCTCGTGGGCTGTGCACTAGCGTATGAGCATGACCTTGTTATCTCAACCAGCTTCCCCACTGTTTACGTGATGAAGCAACAGTAACAACAGCTTAAGCAACGCACGAAAATTGAAGATTTCTTTCATAAGACTATTGATGTGGTTTTCAAATAGTTAGCAAATGTTCAAGTTAATACGAGAGAGTTGTGAGATTTCTATAAATGTTAAGCTGAAAATATCAATGATACTTTACAAATCAAAACTTAAACATGTACAACTCGTGTAAAACGTCACAGGTAAATGTGCTTTAACTCTTTCATTCAATGAAATCAATAACAATTTTTTCCAAATCCTTTTCTAACGCAATTTCTTCGCCCAAGTTTTGAAATTTTAACGTCGTTTCGTGTTTGAAAACAAAATTTGGCGCCAAAAAGTTTTGCCTTGCAAACGTCACAACTTGCGCTCAGTGGCGTCACACGAACACGCTTCAATAATGAATCAAGCACGTGCAAATCACGACGTCCATAATCATTTTAAACAGTTATGAATTCAAGAATTACCTAGATGAGGTTCATCAACATAAATATAAGCTGTTGGTTGTCTTGTAGATATTTGATCTTTCATGTCTCATCATAACGTTAAAGATTAAACCAAAGTATCCATAAAAGTACCTACGTAATGTACTACAAGTATCTACTTACGTACCATAAGTACATGCTGTCTATTGTATTGTACAGTGAAACAGAGATACGTACATACACAATGATTTTAAGAGAAGCTAATAAGAACATGCATATATAAATGTTAGCCAGCCTCCCTCCCTCGCGACAATTGTCAACCCACCCAGTCCATGGTGTGCACAAAAGAATACTTTTATCAACAAGGGTGACTTGTACATACCAAAGAACAAAAACCTACCCCTC